TCGGACCGATATATGTTTAATGCGATTGGGTTTTTTGTTTTGGCACAGTGTCTTACTAAAACATGCGGAATTGACGCGTATTTGGCTTCAATATTAAATATATCAGTACACGATATATAGTACGAGTAACCTGGGTTCGATTCCCACCGGCACCAATGAAATTGATAATTTCAAATTTAAGTGCTGTTTTACCACGTGCTCGGAGGTGAAGGAAAACATCGTGAGAAAACCTGCATGTCTGAGGAATAAGAAAAAAAATATTTCGAAGACATGTGAAGTTCGCTAACACGCATTTGGGCAGCGCGGCGGACTATTCCTTGCCCTAAAACCCTCTCAGAAATGAGGGGGAGGCCTATGTCCAGCAGTGGGACGTATATAGGCTGTAACTTTACTTTTTTTACTTTTGTTATTACTGCCTCATTGTTCTGGCGGTAAAAGCTACTGCTGATAATGAGGTTTCCGGTTCAGAATCCCAGGGTCAGGCAAAAAAAATCAGGTATTGAGTTTTTCTGTCAAGAAATTCTCAGTAGCTGCCCGGAGTCAAGAAGTTGGCGATGTTTCATCCCCCGTGTCTGGGAAAGCACGTAAAGACGTTGGTCCTGCGCCTGAACTCGCTCCTGTCGTATCGGATTATCATCCCATAGGACTATGAGAGTGAGGGAATAGAGAGTGCACCTGTGCTTGCGTATACATTTTGACTGTATAATCTTGTCCTGCGCAGATGGTTTGTACGTGATAAAGCCACGCTGCAGCTATACTATCGTTGTAGCACGAATGGGTCGGCTCGACCGAGGCAGGACCACGCTATCACAGAATACCAACGCTAAATAGCAGCGTAATGCTGCTGTGTTTCGTATGGTGAGTGTAGAGAACCGGAGATCCTTTTTACTGGTATCGAGGCATTCCATCTTAGTTCTCAGGGATTACCGCGCATTTGCATATTGATTCTTAATTGATTTTGTGGCTCATAGACATCTAAGTTTATCCTCTATTAAGAATCCAAACGCAGATGCGTTGTCACCCCTGAGGACTAGGATGGAATGGCTCGTTTCCAGTAAAAAGGGTCTCCGGATTTCTACACTCACCATACGAAACACAGCAGTATTACGCTGCTATTTAACGTTGGTATTCTGTGGTAGCGTGGTTCTGCCCCGGTTGAGTCGACCCATTCGTGCTACAACCATTAATATACACACCGGCACAATTAGCGGAACACAAAAAAAGTAGGATTTTAAAATCTTTTACTTGCGGAACTGACCAGTTATGATATTTTTTTAATTTATTGTCAAATTTGAAAATAGAAAATTAGATGACATACACTTTTTTCATTCATTTGTTTTATTTTCCCGAACAATACGTTTTGTCAACTTGTTCGAGTAATAACTACGTAATTGTAATTTTTTTGAAAAATTGCGCTTCGAGTAATAACTACGTAATTGTAATTTTTTTGAAAAATTGCACTTAATGGTTTTTTTATAAATTTGTTATTCTATAGGCAATTTGTTTATTAAAAGCTCTTTATTATGCCTGACTTAATATCACTGGAAATCATTAGGGCTGATGAAATGAGAAGAAATGGCCATACTTACCGATCGATTGCCTCAAGGCTTCGTCGACCAGTATCAACGATTCATCGCAGCATCCAGCGGTACAGATCGTCTAATTCTCTTGTGAGGAGGAGGGGTCAAGGTAGAAAAAGATGTACATCGAGGCGAGATGACAGTTTTTTACAACTTGGAGTTCGTAGGAATACGCGATTAACGGCTGTACAAGCTCGAAATGAACTGGAAGACGTTCGAGGAGTACGAGTAAGAGAGCGTACAGTTCGCAGGAGATTTGCAGAAGTTGGTTTAGGGTCGTATATACCTGCCAAAGGCCCAAAACTTGAGAGACGTCAACGCGTAAACCGATTAAGCTATGCGCGAGAACATCGTCATTGGGATTTGAACGAATGGCAGCAGGTTCTCTTTACTGATGAGTGCAGAGTTCTTTTAAAACAGATCTATGGGAGACAGCGAATATGGAGACGCAAAGGAGAACGCCACATACAGTCTAATTTTGAACACACAGTGGCTTATGGTGGCGGCTCGATTATGGTTTGGGGAGGGATATGTTTGGGAGCTGGCACGGAGTTAGTGATAGTCACAGGAGGGACCATGACAGCAGATCGATACATCAGAGACATTTTAGAAGAACATGTTGTACCATTTGTACCCTTTTATTGGTGAAGACTTTATTCTAATGCAAGATAATGCTCGTGCTCATAGTGCACAATCGGTTCAGGCATATCTGAGCCACGTAGGTATACCAGTGATGCAGTGGCCAGCAAATTCCCCCGATATGAGTCCGATAGAGCATGTCTGGGACTTGCTAAAAAGAAGGGTTAAATCCAGAATGCCACCCCCCAACAATCTGAATGAACTTGGAAACGCATTACTTGAGGAGTGGGAGCGGTTGCCTCAAGAAATAATCGATAACATAATCTGTAGCATGCCCAGACGAATGGAAACCGTAATCAGAGCAAGAGGGGGAAACACTCGTTATTAATTTTGCTTTAATTTTATTGTTACATCATTTAATACTTAATTTTTTTTATTTTTTGTGATAGTTCATAATCATCTAAAAATTTCACTTATTTCAAATTTCTTTATTTTTCAATAAAAAATAACGAAGACTTTTCAAAGTCGTTGTTAAAAGATGTTAATCAATTTGTTATTTTGTGTCTAATTACATTTTCGTCAAATATATGCGTTATTATCTCATAGTCTCACTTTTTTTTCTGTTCCGCTAATTGTGCCGGTGTGTATATATAGCTGCAGCGTGGCTCTACCACGTATACTAATATACATTAGACAATAGATGGGAAGTTGGAGGCCTGTAGCACAGTTTTAAATAACGCAGACAATTGAACTCGAAAATAAAAAATTTCATTTCATTTGATTTTGCCCACTGGCAAACTTGACAATCAAGTAATAAAAAATTATCCTTCGTTAAATTGTTACTGTTTCCTTTATGAATTGTTACTTTTTATCATGTTTAAAACTTTTTCACAATATGTTGATGAGTCGATGGCAACAGTATTTCAAAGTGCCTAAGCAGACACATTATCTTGAGATATTGACAGACTGATGGGTATCACATCATCATAGGTTTCATCATTTCCATTAATAATAGTTCGAATGCACATGCATATAACTCCTAGGTAGATTGTCAGGTATTATGAAATTTACTAATAAAGTATTGTTTTCAATAATTTCTTCACAATATGTTGATGCGTCACGTAGCTATGTTTTTGGGAGATTTTGACGCTAGCTTGAACCAGCAGATAGTCGATGACGACAAAATCTCAAGGCGCCTAAACAGATACAATAACTTAAGGTTCACATCACCATCGAAACACATGTTTCATCGTTCCCAGTAATAATTCAAATGCGCAGACATTTTATACGCAAAATCGCTTTACCTTTAGTGGATTTTGATACGTAAAGGTCACTGTATTATTTATACAATAAAACAAGAGCAGTAATCCGCCGGCGGTCAAGTTCCTCGGCGGGAACTTGAGCTGATGTTTTTTTTTTATAGAATAAGGTTAACAAACGACATAGTTTACCTCATGGTAAGTGGATGCTGTGGCCCATAGACATCTACACTTATCCTCGATTAAGAATCAAAATGCAGATGCGTTGTCACACCAGAGGACTAAGATAGAATGCCTCGTGACTAGTTAAACCGTTACCGTTACAGCCTATTAAAATTCCACTACTAAACATAGGCCTCCCCAAAGATTATTACCTCATAGCAACCCTCCCCCCCATAGCTGCCACGCTTGGCAAGCAGGTTGGCAACTTCGGTTTTTTATTTTTAGTCATTATTAGTGTTACAAGCTTGGGGTTCGTGACAGTAAAAACAGCCGATTGAATTACCAAATCCGACGCTATAGTTACAAAACACCAATTACAACTTAAAACAAACTAATGATAAAATACAATTGTACTACTGATGACTTTAATTCGCAGTTTTATCGCTTCGAAGTATTCGCTTGTATTGCCAATTCAATACTGACTCGGGTCGCGGCCTATATAGGGCCTCTTCTACTGAAACATCTAGAATGTTCGAGTACATACCGGTTCCAACTAAGTGTAGAAAGTTCTGGCATGGAAATCTCTAGAAGGATCTTGACTCTCCTAGTTCTGCTATTCGATACTAGAGGGCGCTAGTGGTAACTAATGTCGCCATGTACCTGGCATTTATTATGGCGTGCAACATTAGGAAGACGCTACTACCCATCTCCTGATTTGTTTCCCTCTGTCGCCTCTTACAACACCCACACGATGATATGGGATTGATATTCTTATACCGCCATTATTATTTTTTATTATATTATTTATTTGTCAGAATAAGGTAATACATAATAGTTTTAAATCTAATACAGAAGTTCACTTATTCTGCCTCTTTTATAGGCGTACAAATATTAAATCGTCTTAATTTAATTTCGACATAAAATTTTAATACATAACTATAAAAAATTTATTATGGATAAATGTTATACAAATTGTCATAAATGTGTCAAAGAGAAAATCAGTAATAATACATGTCATCGTCAAATTGTTATATATGTCACCTATATTTACTATTATAATTATATTAATTAAATAATAATTTTACAAACAAAATTAGTTATTGAAATATTCAGAAAGACTATAAAAACACTTGCTGAGAAGCCATTCTATCAACTTTCGTTTAAACGTTTGACTTGTTTCATTCTTTATTGTGTCTGGCAGACGATTGTATACACGGATTGCCATGTAGAAAGCATTCCTGTTAAAGAATGAGGTGCCTGATTTAGGCAAGAATAATTTATTTTTGTTCCTAGTATGCCTGTGTTACATCAGACTGTTTTATAAATAAATTTAAATTTTGTCTTACAAACAAACACGGTACACATTACACGGTAAAACACCGTAAAATATTGTAACCACTACAACTCGATACTTTTCCAGATGGTGGGTATCGGTACCAGCAAAGTGAATATGCCGGAGTCCCAGTACAAGTTCACCTCACTGCTGGGCCAGGACGCGGAGTCGTACGGGCTGTCGTACATGGGTCCGGTGAAGCACAACGCGATGGAGATGCGGGGCTCGCCCGGCTTTTGTCGCGGCACTATCATCGGCGTGCGGCTCGACATGTGGCAGGGGACGCTCGAGTTCTACCTCAACAGAGAGCCGCAAGGTAAATCACGGACTCCAGGCCAGTCACGGCCACAGCTCATATACAATTTTTTTTAAATATAAAAACGTTACCCTTACAGTGTGATATATACCAATGAATTGTACATCGACAAATATCCAGATCAGGAAAAATTATTTGCAGCTCATAATATAGTGCCGAGTAGGCGAACACATTATGTAGTATCTGGGTCTCGCTATGTCTTTCTCTCTCTCTCTCTATTTCTCTCTCTCTCTCTCTCTCTCTCTCTTGCCAAACCTCAACATTTACGTGATATTTTATTAGGTCGGGGAAAAGTTTGATTGTATAAAATTGAAGAAAAATCTCTTTGGTTGTACTATTTGTATCTGGCTGGTTTTAATAACAATACATATAGGACATTAAGAAAAAGTGAAAAACATTTTCCTGCCATTTTCAATTGTTTTTTTGTTCGCTAAAATGAGTGAATCTAACGAAGAAATTCGATATATTCTGAAGTTTTATTACAAAAAAGGAAAAATCTGATGAGGCGCGAAAAAAATTTGTGACGCTTATGGACCTAATGCAGTATCAGTAAGAGTAGTACAAAGTTGATTCAAGTATTTTCAGTCCGGGAATTTTGATGTCAAAGATGCAGCTCGCTCTGGTCGCCCTCATACGGATAAACTTAATAAATCGTGTATTCATTTGCGATTCTCTGTTGAAACGTAATGAAACCGAACCATATTTGAAAAGATTGATCACTAGTGATGAAAAGTGGATCACTTACGACAAGAACGTGACTAGCAAAACCGGGATTAACACGCAATAAGGTGATGCTGTGATGAGATTGGAAGGGCATCGTTTATGAACTTTTACCGTCGGGCAAAACCATCGATTCGGATCTCTACTGCCAACAACTAATGAGACTCAGCAAGAAATTGAGAAGAAACGGAAACAGAAAGTCTTTCATCATGATAACGCCAGACCCCACACATCTTTGGCCACTCAGCAAGAATTGAGAGAGCTTGGTTGGGAAGTGTTAATGCATCCACTATATAGTCCTGACCTTGAACCCTCAGATTTTCATCTGTTTCGGTCTCTTCAGAATTCTTTAGGTAGTGTTAGGTTAACATCAAGAGAAGACTCAAAACTACTTGTCGCATTTGTTGGATCAAAAATTCCAAGATTTCTACAGCAATGGGATTATGTCACTACCTACAAGATGGCAACAAGTTAACGAACAAAATGGGACATATATATTATAATTATTAAATATAATTAAACTTTGAAAAAAAAAATGTCTTGATATTGTGTATAAAATACGAAGAAACTTCCCCCGATCTAATATAATTAGAAAAGCAGTCAATTTGTGCGTTTAACTTGACCCCTTCTTTCAAACTCAGAGACAAAGATCAAGGATGGTTATTTACACAGAATTTCTTCTTAAATTAAAAATAAGGAATTCTGGTAACATACTTGAGAGACCGTAGAGACCGAGAGGCTTGGGTTCTTTGAACATATTTTTATTTATTTTCCTAAAAAAAAACTAAAACAAGTACACAAATAATTATTAAAATCAAAGTATTAGACTATTTAATAAAATTATACGTTCATCAGAATTTACTTTAAGCTAACAGCTTAATACAATTTACGAGTGATACATCAGAATCAGAATAGTTTATTTGTCAAACATAGGTAGGTTTAAACCTTAAATATTAACGAGGGTTACAATTATTAGTACGCTATGTTTTGTCTTAAAGACATAAAAATTTAATTGTGTGTTCTTATGAGAATCATGCCATAAAATAAAATAGAATAAAGATTAATGAAATTGGAATACTAATTAAAATTCTACAATAATCAGTCAAGATCTTTAGGGTACGGTAGATTACAAAGGAAAAGATAAGCATTAATACACAGATAAAACATAACAGTTCTTTTGGAATATAAAACACTTTTTTTGATGAAAAAAGAAATAAGAATTTTGACAATATATCCAATGATAATAGACACTCAACTTGACAATTTTTGTAGCATATAAAGTTTCACGTAACCTATTTTTCCTACAATCCAAGTAATTAAACAAGATCAGAATAGCAACTAATGTCATAGATAATGCTTCATTTGTATTACATTCTAGTTAGATATAAGGTCAAAATGACTATACCGATAACGAGGTTACGCTACGGGCCCGGAGACAGGCCATGAATAAAATGGGGGACGATTAAAGGGCGGGGAGATAAATAATTGATGCGATATCAATACAATATTCGCATTGTGCGTTGGCGAGATAATCTTATTTCATGTCGGCAAAGCACGGGAAAACTTCTCAAAATTACGACACGGCGACACCTATATAATATCTTCTAGACACATGCATGGCAGTCTACCAGCCAAGTTCGGAAAAGAGTGACGCACCGGTAATTTGTATTTACATAAATAAACTATGAGACTTAATAGTCTAAGATCCCGCTGCAAAATCACTACGTTCATTACGTCGTGAGTCAAACACATATTTTTGTTGCGCGCTAGCTCTCTCTCACTTTATCTCGGATATCTCGCGTTTTTAACAAATATTTCCACTGGCAGCAACATAGCATCATATTAGAAAAAAATTGCTTTAATTTGATTTAAAACATCCGTGTAAGTCATGAACGTATAAATAGATCAAAATATTACCCGTTTACACCTGGCTGCGAGGTAGTTGCGGCCGAGTTTGCAACGGCACCTATGGATTTTAGAATTCTTTACATGCATTGTTATGATGTGGATGATATTTTATTTAAAAAAACAAGTGAACGAGTTTTTTTTTCGAATATTAATTAACATTAATTTAATAAAAATTACTTGCGGCCACTTTTGACTGGCTGCGGTGTTATCAGTTTATTCTCCTATTCATAGACTTAAGGCGACACCGCGAAAAATTGCACCTCCTTTCATCGAATAATGTAAAACTATGACACCACTAACGAAACTGGAATTTTGACATAGGCAAATTCACGTCTTTATCTTGAATTTTATTGTTCAAAAACACGATTGTATAATTTTGACTCGATCATAATTATTTGCGAAAACACCTCTAAAAAATCACTATAGTTGAAATTAAAACATAATTACTTAATCTATATGCTTAGGAATCACTAAAATATATTCATAACATCAATATTCATAATTTACTTGCTCATAAATCTCATCATCAAATATTTTAAGATTCTGACAATTTCTAAGCGCTTTTATTTGTCGCGGGCGCTACGCAATTTTAGACATTATGACGGCGTTTTTTCAAGTTTTTATAGAAATTATGTATTCACTCGGATCAGTACGGTGATAGCCTGGAGCCACTTTTTCGATGTGTCGTCTTAAGTAAAAATGTGTGTTTGACTCACAACGTAATGAACCTAGTGATTTTGCGGTAGGATCTTAGACTATAATACTGTTGCGTGAATAAGTCAACGTCATACACTAGCGCCATCTAGTGTCAGGAACGAGAGCGAGGGGAGCTTTGCAGAAAATGACATCACAAATCTTTCAATCGACAGCGCCATCTAGTCTCAAACCGAAGAACTAAGTTTCTAGAAAATCTACACTCGAACACTCGTCGCTTTGCGCGCATTTACTTGAATATTCCGGATGCTTCATTGCTAATTTGTATATATAGGCGCTGCAAGATGCGATCGGGGCAGTATTGGATTTGGCGAGACAAGCGAAGCTTCGGAGCGGAATAAAGTGAATTAGTGTGTTTAATTATTAGTGTTTTAAGTTTTAATTTGTGTAAAGTAAATTAAAGTGTTAATTTAGGTAATTTTATCGGCAATTTTTATTGTCACGAACCTCAAGCTCGTAACAATTGGTGTCAGAAGTGAGATAAAATCATGCCGATTTTACCAAAGGAGGAATCAGAGGGTGTCCGTACCCGAAGTCAACGCCAGCAGGAGACGGACCAGAGGAGATTTGGTGGTGCAACGCCGCAGACGTCGGAGGGCCAACGGCCAGCCACGGAGGCTGCGGGCCCGTCAGTAGCTCCTACACCTGCAGCACCTGACTTAGGTGCTCTGATGGTGATGCTACAGGAGCAGCTGCAGCGCGGACGAGAGGAACAGGCCCGTCACTGTTGAAAGAGCAGCAGGAAGAACAGGCTCGCCGACAGGAGGAACAGGTCCGTCAGTTGAAAGAGCAGCTGCAGAGCGGACAGGATGAACAGGCCCGTCGGTTAGTAGATCAGCAGGCGGAACAGGCTCGCCGACAGGAGGAACAGGTCCGTCGGTTGGAAGAGCAGCTGCGGGGCGGACAGGCAGAACAGGCCCGCCGACAGGAGGAACAGATGCTTCTCATGAAGGACCTTCACGCTACCTTCGGGAAAGAGATAAGGGAGGTGAAGGATAAGGTTGCTCAACATGAAAACCGCCTGTCGGAAGCTGAAACCCGAATTGACCAAGTGAACAATCGGGTTGACAACGTAATGGCTGACATGAGGAAATCACTTGACGAACTCAAACTTGGGGAGGGAACTACAGCTCCCGTAGTAGCTACTACACCTTCGCTACGTGGGTTCAAAGTGCCACCATTCGACGGGACTTCTTCCTGGTCAGCCTACAAAATCCAGTTCGAAGCTGTTATGAAGGCGAACGGCTGGAATAAAAATCAGGCCATGACTGCTCTCACACTAGGCCTGCGTGACCAGGCCTTAACAGTTCTGGAAGCTCTCGGTGAGGAAGTAAACACCTTGAGGCATTGGAGGCGAGATATGGCGACGCTCACCTGGAACACGTCTTTCGTGCGCAGCTTAAAGATCGTGTGCAGCGCATCAACGAAAACCTGCAGCAGTGGGCTCTAGAAGTAGAGAAGCTGGTGCGAAAAGCATACCGGTCTGTACCTGCGCTCATTGAAGGGAACCTGGTGCAGACATTCATCGACGGCATCCGCGACCTGGAAGTCAGAGCTGCTGTGAGGCTCGGGCACCACGAGACGCTTAAGGACGCCTTGGCCCATGCACTGGAAGTGGAAGCCGTGAGGCAGGATCATCGTTCCCATCGCGTCAGGGA